GGGAAGATGTTTCCATTGGTAGGAGAGACTAGGACCTGAGGGCACAGCCTTAGAGTAAAGGGAGCACCCTTTAGAATGGAGATTAGGAGAAACGTCTTCAGCCAGAAAGTGGTGAATGTATGGAATTCACTGCCACAGAAATCTGCGGAGGCCAGGTCATTGAGTATATTCAAGACCGAGATAGATAGGTTCTTGATTGTTAAAGGAATCAAATGTTACAGCAAGAAAGCAGGAGAGTGGTGTCTAGAAAGTTACCAGCCATGATTGAATGGCAGAGCAGACTCGGGCCAAATGGCCTAATTTCTGCTTGTGTCTTATGGCCCTCGTGAATGAATCTTGAGTATGTTGTTTTAGATCTTGCTTAATTGACAGAAACCCCTCATTACATTAAGCACCCACTAATGCCTGTTTCAGACGCAGTATGCTTGATGTGCTACTTATCTCTCGAGCTGAGTGCTTAGAATCTGTTTCTTGAAAGTAGGAACAGTGGAAAGTTGCTTAAAAATATACAATATGAACCTTACACACAAAATCATAAAGTAGGCAATATTTAACAGTTATATAAAATGAATGCCAATTGCAAGTGCAAAATTAACAATGTTAAAAGGTAAGCAAGCAGTATATCTTTACACATTGACTTAATGTATAATTTCAGTGATAACTTAAGAATTGTGCTGTTTACAAAAATACAATTTTTGGTTAAAATTCACCCAGTTGATTGGATTTATTATTGGTACAGTGAAAAGTGTTGTTTTGAGTGCAATACAGGCAGATCATACCATATTAAGTGCATTCGATGGTGGCTGAGTCCAGAACCAGGGATCACAGTATGAGGATTCGGGGTAGACCATTTAGGACAGAGATGAGGAGACCTTTCTTCACCCAGACTGGTGAGCCTATGGAATTCATGACCACAGGAAATAGTTGATGCCAAAACATTGAATGCATTCAAGAGGAAGTGAGATATAGCCCTTGGGGCGAATGGGATCAAAGGTTATGGGGAGAAAGCAGGATTAGGCTATTGAACTGGATGATCAGCCATGATCCTGAAAAGTGGCGGAGCAGACTCGAAGGGACGAAAGGCCTTCTCCTGCTTGTACCTTCTATGTTTCTGTATTCTGCTGTGTTCAATTAACACCATGTTACAGCTGCAGAGAAGATGCACACAGACAAAGATCAATATTAAGTTTAATACTTGAGAAGTCCATTCAGAAGTCTAATAGTAGCAGGGAGGAAACTTTTCTTGAATTTTTTGGACATGTGTTCAAACTTTTATACGCTCTGCCTGATGGAAGAGGGTGGAACAGTATAACTGGGGTAGGAGGGTTCTTTGATTATGTTGGTTGCTTTCCCAAGGTAGTGGGAAATATAGATGGAGTCAATGGATGGAAGGCTGATTTGCGTGATGGACTGGGCTGTGTTCACAACTTTCTGTAGTTTTGTGTGGTCTTGGGAAGCGCAGTTGCCAATCCATGCTGTGATGCATCTAGATAGATGCACCATAGCAAGCTATAAAAATTGATGCGTGCTTGTGGACATGCCTAATTTTCTGAGCCTCCTGAGGAAGTAGAAACGTTGTGCTTTCTTGACCATTGTGTTGACATGGGTGGCTAAGGACCGATTGTTGGTGGTCATCACTCACAGGAACCTGACCACCTCCACCTCAGCACCATTGATGAAGACGGAGGCATTCCCTTCATTCCACTTCCTGAACTCAATGATCAGCTCCTTTGTTATGCTGTCGTTGATGGAGAGATTGTTGTCTTTATACCATGCCACTAAGTACTCACTCCATCTCTTTCCTGTATTCTGTATTGTCGTTGTTTCAGATCCACAACAGTGATGTTGTTGGCAAACTTGTAAGTGGCGTTGGGACCGGCCACATAGTTGTGCGTGTATATAGGGGCTGAGTATGCAGCCTTGCGGGACTTTGGTGTTGAGGATTATGGTGGAAGAGGTGTTGTCACCTGTTCTTAGCGATTTACAGTCAATAGGTTAGAAAGTCGAGGATCCAGTTGCAGAGGGAGAAGCTGAGACCTACGTTTGAGTTGAGAGATGAGTTTGTTTGGAATTATTGTATTTAAGACGGAATTGTAGTCAATAAGCATGGGCCTGACGTAAGGATCCTTGTTATCCAGATGTCGAGGGATGAGTGTAGGGACAGGGAGACACTGTCTGCTGTGGACCTGTTGTGCTGGTAGGCGAATTGCAAAGGATCAAGACAGTTTAGTAGGCTGAAGTTGATGTGAGCCATGACTAATCTCTCAAAGCACTCCATAATTATGGAGGTCAGAGCCACCGGATGGTAGTCATTGAGGCACACTGCATGGGTTTTCTTTGGCACCAGGATGATGGTGCCTTTCTTGAAGCACGTGGGGACTTCAGGTTGTGGTAAGGAGAGGATAAATACTCCTGTCAGCTGGTCCGCGCAGGATCTGAGTGCACGGTCAGGGACTCTTATCTGGGCTGATTAACTGTAAATACGTTTAGCAAAATTGTGCTTTTCTAAATAAAACAGTACAAATTCAAGTCTATTTCCTCTGATAATGTCTTAACATTTGTGAAAGAATGTTGCTCACTCATTCAGCTGCAACGGAGTTTGTCACGTACTCTGCTTAAAACTGTATGGTGCACTCCTCTGACGAGTAATATGACTGCTTAGTGTAAGTCAGGTCCTGCATTGGTTCTAATTAAACAAAATATTTGGTTAATTGATTCCTGTACTGTAAACGAAACTAATCATGAAACATTAATTTCCTTACATTGTGAGCAGGTGAGGGTGTGTGTGTAAGAGAGAGAGAAGAAAAGGGTGAGTAGGGGACTGAGTATGTGAGAACATGAAGACGAGGAGTCAGATGCAAACACACAGACCCCCCCAACCCCCACCACGCGTCTATAAAAAATGCTGAGGCTGGCTCAGATGTCATCAGATGCATTTATAAGGTTGTTGGTTAGCTGCACTATATTGTACCATATAATCGCCATCATTATTATTTAGCCTATTTTTTTCCAAATGTCAGTTTTTTTTTGTATAACATTGTTTATTTTTTTTCTTAGCAAGTTTTGTTTCTTCATACCTCAACTTTTTTTATTCACTAGTGGGGCTTGGGCTGCCTCCTTGAACCGCTGCAGTCCATGTGCCTTTGGTAGACCCACAATGCCATTAGGGAGGGAATTAGAGGATTTTGACCCAACAACACTGAAGGCAGATTGATATATTTCCAAGTCAGCATGGTGAGTGACTTAGATGGAGAAATGCAGATGATGGTGTTGCCTTGTATCTTCTGTCCTTGTTCTTCTCCTTGGAAATGGTCGTGGGTTTGGAAGGTGCTGCCTGAGAATTTGTGGTGAATTTCTGCAGTGCATTTAGTAAATAGCGCACACTGCTGTCAATGAGCATCTGAGTAGCAGGAAATGATTGGATGTGGTGTTAGTGATACGGGCTGCTTTGTCCTGGATATTGTCAAGCTTGAATGTAGTTGGAGCTGCACTCATGCAGACAAGTGGGGAGTTATCCATTGCACTCCTGACTTGTGCCTTGCAGATATATTGCCTTTTATCGTATTGTATTGCCGTTCCTCCAGTGTCTCCCGGTCAAAATCCTGTAGCTTCCTCCAGATGGAATTGTGCATCTATCTAAAACCAAATGGACTACACTGGCTTCACAAGATGGCCCACCACTACCTTCTGCATAGCATAACTACAGAGGGACCAGCCAGAAATGATCACATTTCATAAATTAATTCAAAAGAAAGCTATGTTTGAATCTCTCCCATCAGGCCTCTGTCTCCATCTCAGAACAGGTGTGGCCAGTGTAACAGATGATATCCTCTTTCTGCAGTAAGATTGATCACACCATCCTGCACAAACAATCCATTTCTCCATTTTCCAGCTCAGAGGAGTAGTCTGAACTTGGGTTTAATTCTGCTTTTCAGTTGTAGAGTGAGAAGGTCCAGCTTTGTTTTTGCTTTCTTTTGTCAAACAGTTAGATTTTGGCATTCTCCAGGAATCTATTCTTGGCTCCTTCCTCTTCTTGCATGCTACCTTCTGGCAATGTATGGAGAAGCTGCACCAATTGAGAGGTCTAACTCCTAGGAAATCACTGACCAATATTTTTCCAATTACAGGCTACGCTATTCTAAGATACACTAGACTAACTACCCACGTCCAAAACCCCTTTTTTCATCAAAATATACATTTTAGATTACTGTTTTTAATTTTAAGTTTGATAGCCCAAATGTTGTCTCCACTGATTTTAAAACACTATTGTCATTAATATGAATTGTAGACCGAGCTATTGTTGTGGACTTGCACATTGTGTAACTTCATACTTTTGTTGTGTTGATGTGGATCACAGTCTTAAGCATGCAGGGTAGGCCATTTAAGACTGATGAGAAATTTCTTCACCCAAAGAGTGGAATTTTTTGCCACTGAAAGTGGTTGAGGGCAAAAGTTTGATGTTTTCAAGGAGTTAGGTATGCTTCTTGGAACAGAAGGGATCAAAGGGTATGGGGGGAAAGTGGGAGTAGGGCACTGAATAAGATGATCACATTGAATGGTGGAGGGTGCTTGAAGTGCTGAATGGTCTCCTGCTATTCTTGTTTTGTATGCTTCTGTGTTTTCAGTTTTCATTGTTCAGACACTAAGTTTAGTTACCCAGTTGAACCTTGCACAAACAAAAGTACAATCATGAATTACAAGTAGGAGAATGCCAGTCAGTGCTTTGAGTCTGCGTTAACATTCAAGATCAGAGTTGACCTGATCATGGCCTCAATGCTACCATCTTGCCAACCTTTGAAACTGTTTGACTGGGTAAACAAGAATTTATCTACTGCCGCATTATTGACCTTTTATAGTTCAGTTATGCTAACAAGGGATATTTAAAATACTGAATGATCAGGAAGCTATTATCTACTAACTGACTAGAAACTTTTGCACCTTTGCTATTCATTAACGAAAGAAGTTTTCTTAAAAATTCTTCCTTTATCCTTTGCTTTCAGGAAGAATCCCGTGTTCTCAGAGTCAAGGTTATTTCAGGCATTGATCTGGCTAAAAAAGACATCTTTGGAGCCAGGTATGTAGATCAAAGTTTGATTTCATAGGGGTCTTTGTTTTTGAGATTGGCTAAAGGTTGAGTATAAAGAAGTGAATACATGGCATAGTGATGCTTCAGAGTTCTTAAAGAAGCTAAAATATCATTGTTTTGGACCTGTCCTACCATGAGAAGTTAACAAGGGATGCATAAGATCAGAGCGTCGAATCTGCTGTTCAAAGATTGATGTGGTGATGAGTTTCACCTTATGGGCCACTGGTAACAGTTTGGGAGAAAGAGGGAGCTATCCTGTTGAGACAGTTTCACCTGAATCACATTATCACCCTCTGATTGTAGATGAGATTTTAAACAAAATAATGGGGGCAGAGAGCGGGCAAAAGTGAGGAGAGAAGGGTAATGTGAAGGTACACTCAATAAGTTAAAAAGAATAGACAACAGCGTAACGATAACCAGAGTGTGAAAGGAAGTATAGAAACTTCAGTTAGGTTGCACCAGCAAGTAAGGATATGGTGTGGAATCAAAGGATCAGAACGCATGCAGGATTTGTAGCAGAACAGGTTAATTGAAAACACAATGAAGTAAGTATACTCTGATTGCCAGGATAAAGACATGGCTGCAGAGTGACCAAGCCTGCATGCCAAGGGTACTTGATAGATCAACAGGAGGGAAAGAAAAGGTGGTGGTTGAGGTGTGGGGATGGGGTGCTCTGTTATGAAAGGATAGGATGAGTACAGTGGTGAGAGAGATTACTTTGGTTCAGAAGTGAAGATATAGAATTTGTTTGGATGGAGATCTACAAAGTTTTTAAAAAATGCCACTTTTGTGAGTACATGATGTCCTCACTTAAAGCTGGGATTTCATTCCTGACAATTATGACACTCACTGAAACGACTTCAATTGATTCCATAGGAATCAATGTTATAAGTGAATGTATGTCCCATAGGACTTTGGTTAGGAGAGGGGAAAGGAAAATATATAACTGTGCCCTCCTAAGATGTAGTAAAGTACAACTTATACTTAAAATTAAGTTCTGAGATTGGTAAGTGAAATAAATGTTAACCTAAAATAAATGAAAAACATAAAAGTAAAATGTACAGTACCGTTAGATTGGTCATACTCTATCTAGTGGTGGAAGTTCGTTAGTGTCCATGATATATTCACTGACTAACCTCTGCCACTACGTGGAGCCCAGTACCTCCATTTGAATTCAGGCGGGATCCAACGATAAAGGAGCAAAGCCAGCAGTGAGTGGACGATCTGATCTGGAGGAGCAGGGGTGGAGAGAATGCGGCCTGAGTTTTGAGATCTGTAAGGGGAGGGGTAGACAAGAAGGAAACCCTGTTGAAAGGACACATTTGGGAAGCAAGATCAGGTTGGGGGACTAAGTTGGGAAGCAAGGCCAAACGTATTGCCAATGGCCACAATAAAAGGTTGAGCATGTCTCTGATGCAGGCATTGCAGTATGCTAATGACAAGAAAATTAAATTAGAGATGCACAATAATAAATGTGCCCCAAAGAATAAAAAAGATTAATCAATATTATGTTAAGCAGGCAGTGTTAAATTAGGACTGCCTGTAGTTTGTAGGCTTCCGTGACAGAAGCAACACTGTAGAACAGTATCTATGTAAAGAAGTAATGGGGGTTCAAAAGAAAGATTATGCAGTAATTTTGGGCACTTTTAATCATTTTATAGATCGGATGAATCAAATAAGCAAAGACAGAAAGGTGAGATCATAGATTATTCAGGATATTTTCTTAGAGAATTACACTTCAGAGCCAAACAAAGTAGTTTTAGACATTGGGAATTGTGCAATGAGACATGATTATTAATGGTAAAAGGGCCTGCAGGCAACAGTGATCATAACTTTACAGTACTTCGTATTCAGTTGATGGTGAGAAATATGGTTCTGAAACTAGTGTCTTGTAATTGCCTTTATTTAACTTTGTGAAGACACTTGGTCACCATGAGCTGAGAAATTGGACTGAAAGGTAGGAAGGCAGCAATCACCAGGGATTGAAGGAGATATCTTAACTCTTGACCAGGGTATATTCCCTCAAGAAGCAAATGGAATGCAGTGCCTTGATTTGTTGTGAAGCCAGGTTCCATTGAGGCATGCAAGAAGGCTTTGAACGACTATTTGGATAGACATAATGTGCAAGGTATGGAGAAAAGACAATAAATTAGCACTAGGTATTGACACATGTTTGTAGAACTGATGCTGATGCAGTGGCCTCCTTCTGTGCCATAACAGTTCACCATCTATGGCTAATTATAAAAGCTAAGGATAGTATCAAACTGAGGGCAACCCTCTACAATTCTGTGAAGACTAATGGCTAGGAAGAAAATTATAAAGATTTTAAGAAACGGTGAGTCATAAAAAGAAGGGATTAATCAGAGTGTGAAATAAAGCTTGCTGGAAATTTTTTGTTAGAAAACATATTATGAAAAAAAAATTAGCTGGGATTTGAGAGATGGGATAAATGGGTTATTTTTGGTTTGGTAAAGGTTAGTGTTGAGCTTCCATCATTTACAGTTTACATCAACAACTTGGATGAAGGGACTGAGGATATGGTAGCTAAGTTTGCTATTGGCACAGAGATCGGCAGGAAAAGAAGTTATGAGTGGGTGGAGAGGGTTCAGCCACCAAGTGCATTCTGTTCTGATTGATCGATTTCTTAAGGGTATGCAGAAGATGGCCCAAGGTGATAGCACCTGTGCAGGCATGATGGTCTGAATGGTCTCTTCTGTGCCGTAATGATTCTAAAGATCAGCCACGAATGGTTGGGCAGACTTGAGTCAAAACTAGTTTTTGCAACCTCGTGGCACAGAGGTCTGCAAAATGGTTATTAGATAGGTTAGGTCAATGAGTTGAGTATCAAGTGGAAAAATGAGTTTGTCCACTTTGGGGTCTGGATGATATTAGAGAGAGAAGAAATATCTGGTCCATGAATCACAAAATGCTAGCATGCAGGTACAGCACGTGATTGGAAGAGGCAAATAAAATGTTGACTTTGCGAAGGGAATTGTTTTTAAAAAAAGGGACAATGTAACAGTAGTGAAGGACGGCAATATTGTGTAGAGTTTTTGTCTCCTTACTTAGGAAATAATGAAGCGAAAGTTTACTGAACTGATTCTTGTTATGAGGGGGATTTTTTATTGAGGTAAAGGTGATCAGGTTAGGCCTACACTAATTGCCATTTCGAAGAGAGGTGATCTTAGAGAAACAAATAAGAATCTGAGGAAATTTCATAGTGTAGGAGGATGTTTCCCCATGTGAAGGAATCTAGATCAGGGGAAGCAGTTTCAACACCGCATAATCTCAGCTACTTCGGGTTTCTGATCAGTTATTTGCCTGCGTGGTTCCCCTGAGGGCTCATCCTGAGATTTTCAGGGGCTACCTTTTGGATTCCAGAGACTCCTTTATAATTCTCACTAATTGCTTTATTAGGTATTGCAGTCATGTAAGAACATAATATTCTGCAGTTGTGTTGGTTGTATTTTTAGGACTTCCATCTTTAGATAATGCAGCACAAATGCAAGCAGATAACACTGTCCAATCTTCCTTCATTTCATTCTGACAATTTCATTTTTCTTCTCCTTCAGTAATTCTGTTCAAAGTCAATGCTGACCAAAAGTCATGACACTGACTTCTAAATGTACAACTGTGCAACAAGGAGATTATGTGCAGACTAATTCTGCAGGACACAGCTAATCATCAGATAAAGAATAATTTTAATCACACACATGACACTTCAATCATATTTTTTCCTCTGTTAATCCACCGCCTGTGCATGATGATCTGCGCTTAAATGAAATATGGATTTGAACTTCTTATCACAAACACCCGAGCTACATTAAAGGCACATAGCACTTTATAGAGTTGCTAACTCACTAGCCATAAGCCCTCAATGGCATACATTTTTTCAGTGAATGTTGAAGGTTTGTACAGAAATATAGAAACAGACAAATGCTGGTCCTCTGAAATATTGTGCTGACTTTACCCCTGCATGACATGTGGGTCTTTGTTTTAGGGGTGTGATTCTGGGTTTGGGTTTTAAACATTTTAGGTCCAGACTTTGACTTATGGAATGTTGCGGGATTGGGGATAGGATTTGCAGGTCAGAGAGCCGGTTTCACTGGGACCATGTCAGTGTCTGGCATTTGTTGGGCTTTGATTTGTGAAGGTCTAGATTTTTGGGAGTATGGATTCAGATGTTACAAGAATGAATATAGAATCTAGTTGAAGTCGGTTGTGGTGGTTGTCTGGCCTTTGGGAACTGGGTTTGGAAGGCTTGGGTATGCTTTAAAGCAGCCCATGTCCAGGTTTCAGGATTTATTGATTTTGGCTTTGTGGTTTGGAGATTCTGGGTCTTTGTTTTGACCTTTTTGTGTTCTAACTGGTTTAGGTACATGTTTTGTATAATCTGAGCCTTTCCTTCAGTTGTTCCAAATCTGGGATTTGTGGCATCCAAGCCTTGGTCTTCTGTGTGATGAATCTGGATTTTTGGTGCACTGGCTTTTGAGAGATCCAGATACTGAGTGGCCCGGTCCAGGCTATGGGGTGCTCTGAGTCTATGCTTTGAGATTGAGGGAGAGAAGTACAAGACTAACAGCTTAACATACCAGGATTTAGATGATGCAGGTGAGATAGAGAGGGATGTAAAAGAAATGGGTGAGTTGCATTGCTGATTTAAAGGAGAATATCACAGTTGAGAGAGGGCATCCATCGAGGCCATATCGGTAGAGCTCAGGAACAGAAAAGGTGCAATCACTTTGGGATTGTGTTGCAGGACTCCCTACAGCCAGCAGGTGGTAGAGGAACAGATATATGGACAGATTATGGAAAAATGTAAAAACAACAGCTTGTTGTGGTGGATGATTTTTACTTCCCCTGTATTGACTGGGACTCACCTAATGACAGGGGTTCAGATAGGGGAGAATTTGTTAGGTCTATCCAGGACAGTTTTTTGAAACAATATGTAAATAGTTGAATGAGGGAAGGGGCCATACTTGACCTGG